TACTCGGATGACTTCATACCCACGGCAAGACGTGGAATAGTCCCCATGGATCATGCTGACATATTAAGATTCTACATGATCAGAGAATACTCGGAATCCTGAATTACTACTCTTTTGTGGGCAACGGATCATTATTATGGTTGAAAGTTGGGCGTTTGTGTAAGTGTACATGTGGCGGCAGTTTTGCACACTGAGGGAGCAATCGCTGCTTCTTGCTGGTGGGCCACAGTACCTTGGGAGTTTGCTCTCCGAGTGCTCCTGCTGAACTTGTAGCGCCCAAACACCTTGTTTTTGCGGTTTGGGTCTCAAACCCCTGACCTGCTGAACGGGACCATTCAGTGTTTTCGGAGGGGCATTGCTTGTGCATTTCGGGAGCGAATGATGCTCACAATGACCCTGCAGTGATCTGGGTTTTGAACCCTTGACCACCTGCTGAGCTGGATCGTTCTCTATTCTAAGACCACAAGTACGCTTCCATGCTTGAGAAACAAATATCCGGCTCGTTTACGGCTGCAACTTTTGCGTGGCGGGGGTATCGGATAAAAATGGCTGGCGACGCCAGCCCAAAGGAGGCCCACGCCGATTTGTTTCTTTTTGGCGCGCAGGGCGTTTCCAGGGTTGGAGAAGATTGCCTCAGAAAAGAAAGGCATTGCTTTGTGAAAACAATTTTTAGAACCGGATAATGCTGCAGGTAGACAAGATAGAAGTTGTAGCTAGCTTGATGAGTGGTGGCAAGGACAGCTGATACAATTTGATGCAGTGCCAGGAGTATGGCCACGAGATCGTTGCATTAGCAAATCTGCTCCCGTCCAATGAAGAAGTGGCTGAACTGGATAGTTATATCTACCGAAATGTTGCGCCGCATCACTTGGTCTCAACTTAGATTATTAAAACATTGTTCATTCGATGTTTAGATCTTACTCTTGCTATTATAAACTTTATGTTGACTGATTGTATATTCTGTATATGATACTTGTATTTGTATGAATAATTAAGTAATGAATTATAAAATTAAGACTCTTTTCAACTATACATATTTTTACTCTACGTATATGTCGTTGATGGTTAACCACAGCCGGGGTTAAGGTGGATTATCACTTACAGTGTAATCAGTTAGGGGATTCTGCATACTGTTGAGGGTTCAGCCTCCTGATGAGTCGGTGAAACTCTGACGAAACAGTTTGGCACAGCCCCTCGTTTGTTGTCCTCTTCTCCCTCTCTGCCTACGGTTTACCGGGCAGCTCTGTTTGACTATATATGTAAATAATGTAATAGTGTAAACCTATGTTGCATAACGTACACATACAGGACCTTTCCGTACGAAATGTGCAGGTAATATCTGTACAGGAATGGGAACCTGTACATCTTGTATGCCCCCGTACGAAGAAAAAAAAAAAATCATCAAAAGAGTCCGAAAAAACAATGTGCTGCAACAGCACAAAACAAGCACCATTTGGCTGAACATCGTCTGCAGATTCGTATTATAATTTGAGGGGGAAAAAAAACAATTCCGGATTAAAAAAAAAGAAAAAGTCGTACGGGGGTGAGTACAAGTGGCAACGCAGGTGTAAATACTCGTATGAGGGTGAGTACAAGTGGCAACGCAGGTGTAAATACTGAATACATACCCCTTTGGGCATTTAACTTTGGCATTCCTGTCCGCAATTTTGGTGTTTTTTTACGTTTTTTGAACCGAAATAGTCTGGGCGTACCGGGTTATCGCCAGTAGGAGATGACGATTTCAGTTCAAACAGCGCCGAAGTTGTGGCCAGGAATGTCGAAGTTGAGTGCCCAAAGGAGTAATATATGGGACTGCTGTTGTTTCGCACTTGCTGAAGGATGCAAATTGGAGGTTTCCTTGAATCAAGGCAGAGTCTCAATGGGCGCGATTGCATCTGATTACCACCATCTGCGAGTGGAGAATGTTTGCTCGCAGCTCGGGTTTGCGTCCTTGGCCCTCCTGTGGAAGAGGAGCGGTATCCATGCTATCCTGATCAAGGTGGCAGTTTTGGGGCTAAATCCGAAGATTCACTTGGGCAAAGACCTTGTGAGCATGAAAGCCTGTTTGGATCACCCCCGCAGAATTAGAATTATACTGTATAAATGTATAAACGTGTGCGGAGAGGGAGGGGAGTAGGAGACCTTGACTCTGGACTGCCCGCAGTTCAAATCCGCAAGCCTTGTGATTTGAAGAGTCTGAGCTCCGCATCCGTTCCCCCGATAGCATCTCATCTGTCGGCATTCTTCATCCGACAAGCTTTCACTTGGAGCACAAGCAACCGGTTTGCGGGGTTGCCGATAAACACGGAGGCCTTTGTGAATGGTACTCGAAGCCATGTGGGAAGATTGATGAGGCCCAGAGTCAGGTCATTGATGTAGGTAACCTTAAAGTTAATATAACGATAGCGGAGGAGCTTCGTGTGAACGCAGCCCCTCCTGTGGAGTCTGCCATTTTTAGTAGTACGGAGCCGCACAGGGGTGGAGGAGTGTGTGGTAAGGTAGTGGTGTGATGAAGGCATTTGGCCAGAAGCAGACCGCAGGGTACACTCGTTCCTATGAGTTGTGGACGCCAGGGCAAGGAGGAGGATGAAAAGTTATCGAGTGCGGATGAGTCTGAAGTTGCAAGAAAGGATTTGGTACAGGCTGTCCAGCAGATTGAGCACGAGTTGCATGCCTCCGGCCTTGGCTGGAAGCATGTACTTTACATTCGTCTCTATTTGGCTTATATGTGTCGTCTTGTGCCAGCAGCAAATGAGGTGTATTAGTATGTGATTACGGGGGTGGAATGCACCATGGTGTCCCATTGCGATGCACTGTAGAGGTGCAGCTCAAGGCTGCTGGTGCGGGCAATGTCGTGGTGGATGTGCTGGCTGCGAATGACGAAAGCAGATGGGTCTTTCTTGTGCAGAGCATACCTCCTTGGACTCCATTGTGCATTGGGCCGTACAGTTGGGCTACGCTGCATGGAGGTGTCCTCCACATGGCAGGCCAGATACTGTTGAATCCGGCATGGGCGGCGATTGTGGAAGGTGGGCCTTGTCTCGAAAAGGCAAGGGCTCTCCTGAGCTGTGAAGCTATTGCGGATGCCTTTGGAATGTCCCTGCGCCGACAGCTGTTTTGCTGCAGAGTTTACTGTGCAAGTGATGCCGGTGTGAAAGGGCGCCAAGCGATAGAAGCAGAACTCATAGGTTTCCTCCACATGGCAGGCCAGATACTGTTGCCGGTGTGAAAGAGCGCCAAGCGATAGAAGCAGAACTCATAGGTTTCCTCCATGGTGCTGATCTCCTTGGCAGTCCACACGCAACGACTGATTACGAGGTTGAGAAACCTACAAATTCTGAACCGATGATTTGCAAAGTTATAATTTCTGGTCTTCCGAAAGCTGCACTAGTGGAAGTGCAGCCCGTCCTTGTTACCCTGGATGGAGCAACCTCCGACAATACCAAAATGCAGGAGGAAGAGGAGGAGGAGGCTCTTCGTTGCATCAAAATACTGTCATCGGTGGTCCTAAGCTCCGATGCTGGCGGGACCAACATCAGGTTGGGGAAAGGTGGAGATGATGGGACAGAGTGTGTTGCGGTGGTGGGCTCCAATTCTATCGAAAGCCACGGCAATGCCATCACGACAGCTTCATCGTTGCTGGAAGGGAAGTGGTTTGTGCTGTTGCATTTGCATGCCGAGTGATGTCTTGAAGCGGCAGTGGTGTCTTGCCTAAATGACAGGGGTCATGAGCGTGCTGACCCCAATGAGTGCTAACCTTAGTCTGGACAGCAACGGTACTTGGAAGAACTATGGAGAGCGTCCATTCATAGCTGTGTGGAGAAACTAGGCAGAACGCTTGTAGAGCCAGGTTTTGCATGGACTGATGTCGCTATCATTAGGGTGAACTTCGTTGCCAGACATCTTGAACTGAATGATTTGCAAACAGCCTTGAACTCGTCGATCGGTTCCATTGCATGTGTGAGAAACCATTGCGAAAATGGGAATGTGATCGACGGAGATGTTTGGAAGTGGGAGTACTGGCAACCGTTCCTCTTCACAGAACCAGGAACTCCGAATGAGAAATGGATCCCACTGTCAGCTCTCGCTTCTCCTGTCCTAGTTCCTGTCGAGGCTGTTGGACTTAACGCTTTGGCTGATGTGCAACTGACCTTTTGAGATTACAGCGAGCGTGCCAACACCAAAAAAGGCATTTTGTTGCAAAACATATTCTGAAGTCTTGATTGAATTTCAGTTTTCAAGGATTGAATTTTTAATTTTCAATGGTTGAAGTTGACTATTGAATATCGTTGAAGTTGATTGCTCATTTTTGACAAATTGTTCTGCCTTTTCTTTTTCGGTGTGCGTGAGGATCTGGAAAGTGATCGAAAGGTCACACAGTTCTGTGGTATGTTCTTTTTGAAAAGAGGGTAGCCCCTAACATTGTTGTATTGGATTCCATCAGGATTGGAACGTTTGATCATCTAGTTGCCGATGCGAAACTGGTCATTGAGCTTACAGCTAGCAGGCTGAGTCCAAAAGGCGGTGTTGGAGAACAGCTTTTGAAGTGTCGATTGATTTCTTTTTTTCTTTTTTTTGACAGAGGACGGGTATGTTGACTGAATGCTCCCCCCCCCCACACACACACGGGGGGGGGGGGAGAGAG